ACTACCATCACCGGCATCTCACCATCGCAGCACCTAATGACCACTATCGACGACATGGACAGTGATACAGATCACCAAACTGGCGAAAATTTTAGATAGCCGAACACACCACAAACCAAACCCACCATATCTGAGCCCACCATTTCAGATCCTCGTCATTACAGCAATGGCGACTACACATAAACCCACCATCAACCACTACAAAATCAAATTGCCACTTCAAAAACCAACCACCATCAACCACTGCAAAATTAGATCGCCACTTCAGAAACCGACCACTGTCAATCACTGCCCACTCCATTGCACGTGGCGCTCCCTGTTGCAGCTCCCAATGCGGCTCAGTGAAGGAAGACAGAGAGATGGAGACAAAGATAAGAATGGTAGAGAGAGGCGACGAGAAGATTGGGATGGGCTTCAGTCTGACTATAGAAGCTATCTTACTGGTTATTGGGGTGGGCTTCGGTCTGATGTGGTTTCCGTCGACGGTGGTCACGTGCGAGGGAGAAATAAGAGAGAGAGAGAGAGGCGACGGGAAGAGGCTGGTAGAGAGAGAAAGAGGGAGATGAAAAATGATTTAGAGATTATGATTGGGTAGGGTGGGAATAATATTTAATTTTTAAATCAATACCTAAATTTTGATTAAAAAATCTTCTCACCTGATTTTTGCACTATAACCTTTAAACACCTGATTTTTCATAATTTCCGAAAGTTGTTTGTTTTTTATGCTTCACTAAATTCAACCACAAGATATAGGTTCAACTATCAATGATGACATCATGAATAGTCTACTTGGGATATTGGACCAGAAGCTAAATTTACGAAGGTATTGTCGTTTAATATGTGATTTGTTTTAATTTATTACTTATACCTTGTGGATGTGATCTTATTTATATTAACGTGTTTTATGCATGTTTACGTATATATTATTATTGTTGTTGATTTTTTTTATTGATAATCTATTTTAGTATTGCTTCTAAGTAACACACTAATCTTATTGTTCTAGTTATATTTTATTTTGCCTCTCGAGAGCATAATTAAAAATTATGTTTTTACTCTTGAAGAGTAAATTCTTATACAATTTAATATGTTTTTCTCCTGAAGAGCATGACATTACAATTCCAGTATTCCAGAAGAATATTACTTGTAGATTTGTCTATTATAAATATTGTTGTTCCTTTAGTAGCACATTATTATTGATATTCTAGTTAGATTTACTTGCTCTCGAATAACATAATTATGTAAAATCTAATATAAATTATGTTTTTACCATAGAAGAGCAAATCCTTAAATAATTTTATTATAATAATATTTGATTCCTCGTGAAGAGCATAATTATAATGTTCAATATTTCAGAAGAATATTGATATATTACTTGTGAAGAAGCAAATATATAACTCCTGAAGAACTAATGTTTGGAAATAAATGTTCATTGTTGTCTCTAAAGTTTTACATCATAATTAATATTCCAAAAGAATATTACTTACTCCTGAAAAACATGAATTATAATTTTCAATTTTTCAAAAGAATATTAACATATTGCTTTTGAAAGAGCAATAATAAATACAACGTGCTCTCGAAGTAACACATGTTTCGAAAAATGTATCATTTTGAATTCATGGTTATCCCTGAAAGACAACATGTAATTAATGTCATAAGGACATTGATTAGTTTGATTACTTGAATGATATATGATTATATAATGTTTAATCATATTTTTTGAAATTAAATAATTAAATTATATCTTATATTGAACCAAAAGTTCAATTTGACTTTATTGTTTGGCATGACCAGTTGTATCATAACTGAATCAATAATGATACGAAATTAAATATTCAAATGGATATACAATGAAGAACCGGAAGATTCTTCAATCCAATTAAATCATATTTGATATTTGTTCTCTTTATTGAAAATTGGTTATTGATCGTTACTGGTTAAACAAGGATTGAATTACCTATATTTCTGAAAATTAATTAGATTGATATATGGGTTCTCGTCACCCTCCATGTTAATCATCTAAATATTATTTGTATATAAAAGATTTGATACAAATATTAGATGATTGCATGGTGTTCGTAATTTGAAGTTTGCGAAAGTGCTCCTCAAATTATGAGCATAACTTTCAAATTATACAATTAAGACGGT